GGGGGGGGGTTATTTTCGTTCAATAAATGGATTCAGATTTTGCGCGCGATAAAGCTGTAGGGGAAACGTTACATCTCGATTGGGATCCCAAGTAATTTAACTCCTCAGTTACTACACGGAGGAAAAATATTTCGCTGTCACGGCAAATTGTTAGTTATTACAGGGGAAACAAAAAAATTTATTTAGACAGCGAAAAGATTTGTCAAGAGAGTTAGTTGCTATTTGCCATATACGTGGCCAGCAAAATAATTTGGTTATGCTAACTGAATTTTATCGCTGCCGCAACGACGTTTTGCTACACAACAGCAAAACTATTTTCTCCGCGCGACAAATCTTTTTTCCGTTCCCATAGTAACTAACAATTTGCTGTGTCGGTGAAATATTTTCCCCCCGCGTAGGCAGAAGTTAACAAACTGTCCGCTCGAAAAATGCGTGAAATTTCTACCGGGGAAAACACAAAATAAATAAATATAGAAATAAAGTGTGAAGTATAAGCAAGGTTCGTAAGATCGCACGCATTCGTTTTTATTACCCGTTCAAAATAGATTCGATTTGTGTTTTTCCCCCGATTTTCCGCCGGCTCGTCGCTGCTAAATAAAAATCGCGCGATCTCGGGTTTCGCCGGAGTAGGGTGAAAACCGACGCAACGACGCGATCATCTTTTCAAATCGATACTATCGAAGTGGTATTATTACCAGCCCCCGAATCCTCTCTTCGCTTACACCGGTAACACCGTTCAGGCCGCGGTCAGGCTGCGAGGTTTTTCGCGTCTCAGACGAGTGTCGCCGCATAAAAGACGCCGCTGAGAAAAACAGCCCGAATTAAACCGGCGCTTTTGCGAGAGAGGTTCTCCCCTCTTCCCTTTCTCCCCGTACCTGGGCCCGTGCGTTATGGCCGCAGCGCAGCTTTTGAGAACGGCGGACGCTTGATACGTTGCCAAGTAGCACGGGACCTAGCTCGAATTAATGCGATCCGAGACATTTCCCGTTCGCCCGACATTATCGCACCGGAATTACCTCCCGCCCTGTCAGTATCACAACGTTTCCAAACGGCAAAACCGCTCCCGACAACCTGCGCAAACCGACTGTTAATTTCTAATAATCAATTAGACGCTCAATTAGACGATCAATCGAACGAGCGCGCGCCGCAAACGTGTCAAAACCAATCATTTCCGGCCGGCGGCTCCCCCCTCCGCCGGGCTCATTATGCGAATTTAAATTAATACCAGTTACGAGTAATAGGCCGTGCAATTAAAACACAACGCGACGGGATTAGTTACACGCGCGCGACATATTTCTTTCGCTCCACGATAATTCCGGAGCTAATAAACGCGGCTGCGCGCGCGTTACGCATGCACGCGCGCGTACGTGTCGCGTTATCGCGAATATCTTCGCGATATATCATTGTTATCGTTGCGATTTAACGCGAGATTAGCGCCTCCGACTCGTAAAATGCTAATTCGCGCAAATAAGACGTTATGCGATGCTTCTCCCTCTCTCTCTCTCTCTCTTTCGGTCTCCATCTCACCTCCCCTCGCGACAAACCGGCTGTCTTCGCACACGCATGGCTACGTGCGTCGCGCGCGCGCGCGCACACATACAGACGAACGAAAGCTTGACACCGTGCCAAGTGGCACGAACCGACCGTCCCGTCCGAAATGTTGCCACGACGATCGATATCACGCTTTCACGAGTTATCGCGCTTACGAGAGAGACGCGAAGTCAATCTCGCGCGTTCCGCGCGCTTCTCGCGAAAAATATGCCATCCGGTCGGCTCGATCGCGACATTCGTCTCGATAACGAAGTCCGCCCGTAACTCGGATTGAAACGTTCTCACGAGTGTAACGAGCATGCTTGGCTCGCTTTCAACCACGAGCACATACTCATCGACCATGGGCTATCAATTGTCGCTACCGATGATCGCTGTGGTCATCGAGAACACATACTCAGCGCCCTGTCGCGACGGCGGTGTTGGTCCTCCGAATTATTCGAAACGCGTCGCCGGCGCGAACGAGGCCCCTCCGTCGCTGCGCGATAATTTCGATACTTCGCTTCGACTTTGTATCGAATGGAACGTTTATATTTATCTCTCTCGCGGTATCTGCCTGTTTTGCTCGCTCATATTTTATCGTGTTTCACACGCACGCACATACATAGGTGCTAAAGAGTGAGAGTAAGAGAGGGAGAAGAGGAGGGGAAAGGGAAGAGAAAAGCACAGGTTATGGGATTATTGGTCGTAGCTGGTGGCGAGAGTGAATTGAGACGCGTCCCCTTCTTCCCCCCTAAGTAACCGTGAATGTCAAAGCGCTTCTTCTTCAGCGCACAGTAGCCCCAACATTCTCGCTTGCCATTTCGAACCGCGGGACAAACGTGGGAGCTAAATACGGGTGAGATAGGATCGATCGATTCTTACCCTCGGCAGATGGGTGTTGAAGGTGAACTTGGACTCGAGCTCCTTCCGTGGTGTTTGCGCGATCGCTGTCAAAGGCGTGAGCGGCACTGTCATCTCCTGAAAGGGAAAAGAAGAAACGAAACGCGATTAGCGAGCCGGTTTATCGATATACATGTTCCGTTTTTCCTTCTTTCTTCGGTCAAACGGATTCGAACGAATCAACGCGTTAAACCGTTCGAGAGAAATAGAATACCTCTGTCGCGCTGGCGCAATTGTCGACAGATACCGATACGGACGAGAGAGAAGAGAGAATTCACGAGAGAACGAGTGACGAATCGTTTTCTCTCTCTCTCTCTCTCTCTTTCTTTTTCTCTTCCACTCTCGTCCGCGCATCTCTCGAGTAACGAGAGAAAGATGCAGCCGCGATTCGACAACAAGACGTTTGCGTAATAGCGGGCGCGCAACTGGGGCACGATTACGTCAATGTCCACAAGCGGAGCCTCGCCGGACGAATTCCACACGAGCGAAGACACCTACACGCCAACCGTTCTTATTAACGCACGCACGCACGCACGCGACAGACCGGCCGAAGACTTACAAAACAATCAGGCGTCTGACTTTGTCGCAAATTATCTCGCATTCCTGAATATAATTATTACAGAAAAAAAGTATATAATAAGTATATATAAATATACAGGGTGTCTGAAACCCTCTCGCGGAATCCGTGGTGAGCAGGTAGAACGGATGGAACTCGTCGTTTCTAGGACATCTTCAGAAGTAAGCCATTTTTTCCTCACGCAGAGTCCGACCTGCTGTTTCCCGCGCGATTGTTAGCTCGATGATTGTTTTCTCTCCGGTTTCACCCGTTCTACTTGCACACCGCGGATCCTGGAGGCAAGTTTCGGACACCCTGTATGTACCTGTCGTTATTTTTACTGTTACAGTTGTAATGAAAAATATATACATATATAATTGTCATATAAATAAATATAAACTATTGTAAATTTATGATAATGCGACTTTTGTATTTCACGTTTCTATTTATGATAACAACCCCCCCCCCCCGTGTTTTTCACTTTTTTCCTTTCACCAATTTAATTTCCACATTGATTCGCTCCTTCTCTCTCTTTTTATTTCAACGTTCACGCGCAAATGACAAACGTGTACGCAGGTGCGCGTAATAGCGGGGGAGGGGGGGGGGGTGCGACACCGTGTCGGCGCGAAGTCGCAAACTCGCGAACAATGCGCTGCGTTCCCGATGCATCGAATGAAACGCATTTCCACCGGCGCGGCGAACGTCGTCGCGCGGTGGGCCGATTCATTGACCCGCCGAGAGACATCCGTCGACGGGAAACAAAGAACCGACGAGACAAAAGCCCTCGGCGAAGTGCTTACGTTCTTACGTGCGATCGGCGCGCACTCGACGCTCGCGGAAAATAAAGTCCTAAAAGCCGGAAGGGATGTCGAGAGGAAAGAACCGAGACGGGGACGGGTCTGGAAGCGTGAATTCTTCTTCCTATCCGACAATTAAGCGCAAATTAGATTTGACGTGAAATACCGGCTCTAAGGACGTGTCGCCCATAACTCGGAATAATTAAAAAATTGATCTACGTTGCATTTAACAGTGATACGAAAAGTTTGATAGTAATTCAGAGCTTAGATCAAAAGTTATTTCACTTTAAAGGAGGTCATAAGGCAAAGTGAGTTTGATAAGAATACGATGAAACTTGCACTGTGTATACACTGAAATATTATTTAACTCATTACTCACGCAATTAGAAAAAGATTGATTATTCAAGAGCTGAGATATTTTTAACTAAAGTTTATACTTTTTCTCCTTAAGAGAGAGAGAGAGAGAGGAAGAGAGATTAGCGTGTTATTTTTATTTTTAATATCTTCTAAACTTAAAACGAGATTAAAAAAAAAACTACTATAGTATTGAAGACTAATATGTAGACATTATACATAAATTTCAGAATTATCGGCCATTTTATATTGAAAATACAGCGGTGTAAAGTTAATAACTTGTAATAATACTCAAAATACATAACATATGCACATATTTAAATATTTAAATACCTCTTTCTGATATCTGTGCATCTCTATTAAATCGACTAATGTATAAAAAATAATGTATAAAAATAGCATTGACGACTAATGTATAAAAATAGCATTGATGAGAAAAATAAGAAATATTAATATTCCCCCATTTATAATATTGTATATGTATGTCTACCTCATTTCGTTTAAAATTATTATTAATTATTTAGGCGGTGAAACAAATGTATAGGGACGTAATTTTGCTGGATAAATATTAAATTTATGAAAGTACAAAAACACCACGCTAATGGGCAATGCATCTTTAATTATCGAAATCAGAAATAAGTGAAGTCGAGGTGAAGTCATTGAATCGTCCTAATGGAGAATAAATGTTTAAGTGAAAATTCTCAGAATGAGGATTCCGATTCTTACGAGATACGATGTTGCTTTTTTGCCGATTCCGGGACGTTTCAATTTCATGACTGCGTTAGTTCTTTACCGATTACCTCCCCTCCTATCATACAGGGGCCGAGTGTTTGCGGCATTTCAAATTTGACGTTGTACATTATCATCGTTACAGATAAAAACGGGAGGATACTCTCTCACGACCCTTTTTATCGCGATGCTCACGCGGTGGTTCGAGCTCGGGGACTTCTTACCTATAATTTCCCCTGTAATTTACCGCCGCGGTCAATTTAACGGTCGGCTGCTTGCGGTGTAAAGAAAAAAGAAAAATGCCGATTCGGTTGCATCGTCCTGTGTCGGATTGCAGGGATACGCGAGCGCGGTAATATCAATAATGTCGCATACGACGGGGAGGTGTATTGTTCTAAGAAAGAAAATTACACGGTAATTTCGTCGAATGTGCGCCCGTCCTGCCGCCATCGCGACCGTCGTATTAGCGCGTTTTGCGACGCGGTAACGTTCCCGCGAGACGGAAACAAATGCTTCACGCTCTGGATACGCGCGTCTTTTTTCCGTTCGGTCTCTCTCGTTTTGAACGACCGGTCGCGCGCAAACTATAAACAAGCAACAAGTGTCGTCATCGCCGGCGACGACGGCGGCAACGATAATACGCGCGAAATTAGAACGCGTACGATCAAGGCCTCTAAACAAGTCTTCATCGCTTCCATCGCACCGGCAATTTTTGACGGAACGTCGAATCAAGTGCGAAGTAGTTACTCAACGGCGACGTTCCAAGTTCCGCCGTGCCGGGAGCGCGCTGTGCTATTTTCCGATATGCGTGTATCTTCCCCGCTCGCGAATGCCGTCCGCAAAGCGCTATCTTCTTCCGGGATTTTTCACGATTCAAGGGGGAAGGGGTATCGGGAAGAACGTCGATCAAATAACGCGCCGATTCGTTGCACGCATAATTATTCGGCGGCGCTCGCCGTTGTATCCGCTCTGCGCGCGAGCTCTCTGCACCGCTATCATTACGTGCAAAACCGATACTCAATTATCGACAGGCGACGGTCGCGCGGAGTATCGCGCAGAAAGTGAGTAATCGTCAACTCTCCGAAGCGCAATTTAATTTCGACTGCAGATCCATTGGTCCGTGAAACTTGTTAACTCCGATGGAAACGCGACGCCGACGTGCCCGATAAAAGTCGACGGTTCGCAGGAAACGGACGAGCGGACGGACGAACGGGAGATGCAAAGGGTGAAGAGAGCCCCTGGGAAGGGGGAGGGGCCGAATATCGGCGGATGTTGGCGAATGCTGCACCCAGATCGGAAAGATTATTTCACTTCGGGAAGACCCTGTCCCTCCCTCGTTTCTTCCAGAACCGTTCAGGTACGTTGTGCTTCGTGGAATGCCGAATTTTCAGTGGCGATATTAAAGGGCATTTCTTCATTTATATGAATTTATTATTTATTGAAAAATAGATTTTCCTTAACTTTACTTAACTGAGTGATAAATGTTGATTTTGACCGCACAAAGTTAAGACAAATCGTTAAGACAAATCTGGGTGTAGCATTCGCGAACACCTGCCAATATGCACACAATATTACAAAGACGACATTATTTTTTTTTTCTTCATTAATGCTGGATTTATACGTCAGTTGAGCTAATAAAAGTGCACACATAGAAAACAGTGATATATAAATATTTAAATATTTTAATTTAGAATGTATAGATGTATATATATGTACATATATCTCGCCGGCGTTACTATAAATTGTAACTTTCCTATGATCTTGTATTTTCAAAACAAAATAGTTAAGATTTAAAAAATTTTTATTTAATGTCCTTATATTGGTTTCTAATGTCACGGTAGTTCTCATAAAAATTCTAAGTGTGGTTTAGAAAAGATTAAAAATAGAAGTTAAAAATAGGACCTTAACACTTTAATGGCCGCTCACACAACATGTGTATGATAGCCGGAACAACTGTTATTGTCCGCTCACACAACATGTGTGTGATGCTACCGCCGAAGATTATTGGCCAGTACCACACTCTCTGTGTGATGATTTATGAATGTGAACAAGTGATTTTATGAATGTAAACAACAAACTTTAAGAAAGTTTTTTTTAATTAATTCTTCAAAAATATTGCCGGCCCCTGGCGACGTTTGACTGCGTAGACGTGCGGCCATTAAAGTGTTAATAAGTACGTATAAAAAATATTCACTTGTGAATATCTCAGCTCCCGAATGGTCGATCGTTCGCTAACTTGACAGTCGTGTAAATAGAATTTCCACCGACTAAAACTTAAGAAAAGGATCCCTGGAGAAAATATTTGGATGGACCAACTACCTCAAAGCATCAAACAGTCGGAACGTGGGGGATGAAAACCACTAAAACACTATTCGGAAGCGTTAATAAAATCATCGCAATTACTCCCGTTTGTCCCTTCGGATAACCGGCCGCGTGAAACGCCGAGCTCTCGCACCCTCATTAAATTTCCTCTGGCCGTGCGATCGCCAGCATCGCCGCCCTACGCTAACTCTGATAATCGCGACAAATCGCTACGAAGTCAGCTGTGAGCTGTTTACATTCCATTTTGTATCTTTCGATACACCGGTTACTCGGCAGAGGCGTGCCCGGTCGAATCAACGGTTAATATTCAGATCTGTGAC